ATTTTGAGAGATCGAAGCAATGACACGGCAGCGCGATATAATTCGTCGGCTAAATAAGGTTAATTATTAGTGAGGAAGGAGTGGGAAACGAGGGAAAAACTGAGTGATCCATTTTACATACCATTTAATTTCTCCTCTACATTTATTGAATAATCATCTTGACGCTGGGTTGATTCAATTTTCTCGGTTGGTTGTATCGTTGATTTGTCCTGGGGGATTTCTTCTTCCTGAACTGCCTTTACACGAACACACGCGGAAAATAAAAATACGTAGAAAACGCCAACTGTAAAAAAAATGACGTACATTAATTGTTGAATTCTCATAGATTCGAGAAAGATATTAAATTTTAACGATAGAATACCAAAAAATAATATTAGAAGGCTTCGTTTGCGTTGCATGTTGAAGGTGCAAAGCCAGACAACACCCAGAGCGTATGAAATTTTTAGAAATAATATTATGCCACGTTTCTGATCAAATCACGAGACAGATCTGCAAATTCGGTCATATTGCATTTAATTTCCTAATACATGATTTAAATACCATACATTATAAGAAATAATATTCGTTTAAAAATAAAACTTCAAATAAATATTTTTTTAATATTCCAATTAATAAATATTAAATGTGCCTTATGTGCCTTATCGTTTCGAAAAGGTTTGTGGTTCCTGAGAAACCGTGTTGTCTTATTATATATACAAACATAATGTATACATATAAATACGCAATTGTTATAAATAAAAAAATCAATATGTAATAACAATTTTATATTTGTTTTTTTTAAAACATACTGTATTTCTTAATTAAATAAAAAGAAAAAAAAAATTCTTTATATATTATAATGATATTATTATTAAAACCTAAAAAAAATATATTATTTATTCTATGATAAAAAATATTTACCTTTTTATAACACATTTTATTATTTGTTATATAATCAAATACTTTTTTAAATTTTATTATAATTAATATACTATTGAGTTATGATATTTAGTAAAAGTTAAACAATTATATTATTTTCTATTATTACCATTTCAAATATTATTATTGTTAAGTTATTTGTAAAAATATTTTTAAAAATTAAAATATAATTTTAAAAGAATTTTTAAGATTTATAAGTTTTTGTATTTAAATTTTGAAATAATTTTAAAAAATTAAAGATTAAATTAAAGATTTTTTTAAATATCTTTAAAAATATATAAAATTTAAACTTATTTATATTTTTTTAAACTTATAATTAAAATCTACTATCAATATACATTGTTTAGCGCTCCGAAAAGTATCGAACTGATACTAAAGTGATATCGAAATAGTACTAATCTATAGTAAATTTAATATATGGATTGTGACTCACTTATATAAATTTATAGTAATTTAAATATCGAACTGGTATCGAACTGGTATCGAAGTGGTATCATTAGAAGCCTTAACATTGTTAATATAATATATCTTATATAAGAAAATTATTTAAAAATAAAAAAAAAAAACTTTTTCTTACAATATTCCAATTTATAAAAAATTTCTTTTTTGGATAATATATCAAAAACTATAGATTGATAAACAGTCCAGCAAGTATATCCTTCTAGGAGAATAAAAGAACTGCAGGATACAAGAATTCTGATTAACTTCTAATCAAGAGATAGAAGTTTTGGAAAGAGTTAAAATTTATTCAGATAAATATTTATTTTATCAAAATAAAACCTAGTAAACTTTTACTAAGAAATTTTTTTTATATACCTTCAAATACATTGTTTAAAAACTATAAAAAATGGACAAAAGTTTATAAACAACTTTTTTTTTTTTTAAAATAAAATTTAATTTAAAAACCAATTAAATTTTTTTAATAAAAATATACTCAAGATATAAGTATAATGTATTCAATTTATAAAAATATATCATTATATAAAAAAAATTTTTTTTTATTTACTTGAAAATTTTACTTCAATTTTTGCATAACCACTAATACCTGCTAATAAAGAATTAACTTTTGAATAAAAAGCAACCATAATTTATAATTACAAAAAAAAAATACCTATTATAATATCGCAGCCAATATTGGATATAAAAAAAGTGTAATGGATAATGTTATAAAGTGTTTTATTGAAACTGGATCCATAGAATTATAAACATAATGATCAAGATGATCGGAATGACTACAACTTCTCAATAAGCGTACTTGTACCATCCTCAAAAAACTTGTTACTGATAAAAAGGATAACAGATATGTTATTGCTACAAAACCAATCAATCTTTTTATAGTCAAAATAGGAATTAAAGTATCTGAAAAAACTATCCATCGAACCCTGCATAAAGAACAGTTAAAAAGCTATATCACATGTCCCAAGCTTTTCCTTTCAGAAAAAAAATATTGAAGATCAACTTATCTGATACCTTACATATAAAGACTGGACCATTTGAAACTTTAAAAAAATAGTCTGGAGTAACGAGTCTATATTTACTTAATTCCAGTAAGAGAGTAAATGTCATGTTTGGCATAGTTCACACGAAGAGTGAAATGCTAAATACCTTTCTGTTACCATTAACTATAGCTCAAGCCATATACATTGGAGGTATTTTTCATAATTTGATGTTAACCCCTTTGTTTCTCTTTGCACCTCGGTTAAAGATAAGATAAAATGTTTATTAAATAAAAAAAAAATTGGTTTTTTTTAAAAAAAAAAAAATTTTTTTAATTTACTATAAAAAAAAAAATAAGATTT